TTCACTATTGAGAAAGAGAGTGAATTAGATACTGAAAAGGCTCAAACTTCCATTCTTGAAGGTAGTGTCAAACTTGCTAAACAAGATGGGTTGGAAAAGACTCAGACCATTCAATGCTTAAGGTCTGAACTATTTTCAACTCCAAAACTTCTTGCTGATCGAACAAGGAAATATTAAAGCTCAAAAGTGAACTTAGCCGACTCATGAACGAACACTCGAGCATGGAAAGCAAACTGAGTGCAAACTCGGCAGAGCTAGAACGTACTACAGAGGCCATTCGGAAATTGAACAAAGGGAAAGCGGATTTAAATGAACTTCTCTCCATGGGAAGACAATATGGTGATCTCACCGGATTGGGTTACACTGGCAACGTTGACAAATCTGTTCATCCCTCTGAAGGTACAATTAAAATCAATCATCCAGGCCTTGGATTCTCAGACAAGTCTGGTATTGAAGGTACGAGTCCTCATGGGAAACCATCTCGCAACTTGTTTGGCAGGTTTGTAAAAAGCACTGTAAGTAAATCTTCTCCACCTAAACCTGCAGTGAAGGTTCATGTACCTATTCCGGAATCTGTAAGTAAATCCCCTCGTAATTTTGTTCCAATTTGTCATTACTGTGGAGTAACTGGTCACATCAGACCCAAATACTATAAGATGCAGCATGATCTTTGTTCTAGTAAAGTCTTTAACTGGAATCGCTTCGGTGTACCAGTGAACATTCGTGCAATGAATTCTCCTAAAAATTTCTTTAAAAATCGGCAAGTGTGAGTTGCAAAAAGTTCCTTTAAATGTCTTGCGTCAGTATTGTCCCTTAGAACCTCACTTGAAGGGAAGTGGTATCTTGATAGTGGGTGTTCAAGGCATATGACTGGTGAACCAGCATACTTGTTGAATATCAAAATTGGTTCGAATGGGGAAGTCACTTTTGGTGATGGTGTGAGCAATAAAGTAATTGGAACATGTTGTTTAAACTTGGGTGGTTTACCTAGATTAGATGATGTGTTACTCATGGATGACTTGAAAGCAAATCTCTTGAGTGTGAGTCAACTTTATGACTAAGATCTTAGTGTCAGTTTCTCTTGTGATAAGTGTTATGTGAAGAACAATGAAGGTACATGTGTGCTTACCGGTTCTCGTTCAACTAACAATTGCTATCTTGTTGACTTTAATGAAAAATGCCTTCAAGCAAATGTTAGTGAATCTGAAATCTGGCACCAATGCCTGGGTCATATTGGATACTCTCACTTGGTCAAATTGTCTAATGCAGGTGTGGTCCGCGGGGTTCCGAAAATCTCTATGAAGGAACATCCGATCTGCGAACTTTGTCAACTGGGTAAGCAAACTCGAGCATCTCATAAAGCACAGAACCACGTTGTTTCAAAGAAAATTCTGGAGTTACTTAACATAGTTCTGATGGATCCCATACAGGGGGTTATCAAGGTAAAAAGTATCTTTTTATGTGTGTAGATGATTCTCACTATTTACGTGGGTTGACTTCTTGCGTGAGAAATCTGACACCTTCTCTGCCTTTGCGTCACTTTGTGTGAAAATTCAAAATAAGAAAGGTTTTTCCATAATCAGTATTCGAAGTGATCATGGGCGAGAATTTGAAAATTTTGAATTGGCAAATTTTTGTGATTCACAGGGTATTCTTCATGAGTTTTCTGCCCCTAAGACTCCACAGCATAATAGAGTTGTTGAGAGGAAGAACCGCACTCTTCATGAGATGGCCAGAGTTATGTTGAACTCCAAGAAAATTTCTCATAGATGGTGGGCAGAGGCAATCAACACAGCCTGCTATCTTATGAATATGGTGTACCTTCGTCGAAGTATGGGTCTGACATCTTATGAGCTCTGGAAAGGCAAGATCCCTAACCTTAGTCATCTGCATGTTTTTGGGTGTAAATGCTTTGTTTATAATGATCGTGAACAACTTCAGAAATTTGACGCTAAATGTGATGTAGGGTTCTTTCTTGGATATTCTAACAACAGTCGAGCATACCGTGTGTACAACACAAGTACCTCCACTGTGATAGAATTCATGAATGTGACCTTTGATGAAAAATCCTCCCATGTTGGTCATCATTATCTTTTAATCTTGGTGAAAATGTTATGAATACTCAGGATACTCAAAAGGTTTACAGTCTTATAGACTGTGAAGCTAATGAACGTACAGACGGAGCTGAAAGCTCTCAGGAAGATCTGGTAGAATACAATGTTTCTGCTACATCTGATTGTTCTGCACAACCAAGGCGTGATCCACCACTGAAGGTTCAAAAAGATAATCCATCTAAATTAGTCATTGGAGACCTCAATGAGAGGGTAACCAAAAATTCTAGAACTCAGTAAAGAAACTCATGGGTGTTTCTCACCTTGCGTGATAAACCTCGTTGATTGAATCAAAGAACGCTAAAGAGGCATTGAAGGATGAGTGTTGGATCTCATCTATGCAAGAGGAACTTGAGCAGTTCACTAGAAATGATGTCTGGGAGCTAGTTACTGAACCTTCATCAGGAAATGTTATCAGTACCAAGTGGATCTTCAAGAACAAAACTGATGAGTTTTGGAATGTGACACGCAACAAGGCGAGACTAGTTGCACAAAGCTACACTCAGACTCAGGGGTTGACTTTGATGAAACCTTCGCCCCTGTCGCAAGACTCGAATCGGTGCGTATATTTTTATCAATTGCGTGTCTGATGAAGTTCATTGTCTATCAGATGGATGTGAAGTCCGCCTTTCTAAATGGCATTCTACATGAAGAAGCTTACGTCAAGCAGCCTGAAGGGTTCAAGGATCCAAAAAATCCTAATCATGTTTACAGACTCAAGAAGGCCCTGTACGGATTTAAGAGAGAACCTCGTGCATGGTATGAACGTCTGACCATGTACCTTATGGAAAAAGGTTTTAAGAGAGGGGGAGTAGACCAGACATTCTTTGCTCTCCGAACAAATGAAGAGTTGTTGGCAGTTCAAATCTATGTGGACGACATCATTTTTGGGTCAACTTCCAAGAAGTTGGTCAATCATTTTTTAAACTAATGTCGTCTGAATTTGAAATGAGTCTGATAGGTGAACTTTCATACTTCCTTTGGCTTCAGGTAAAACAAGATAAAGATGGTATCTTCTTGCACCAAAGCAAATATGCAAAAAACCTTGTTAAAAAGTTTGTTATTGAAAATGCTAAAAATCCTCAAACTCCCATGGGCACTCATTTGAAAGTGTCTAAGGATGATGAAAGTACATCTGTTGATCAAAATCTTTACATAAGTATGATTGGTAGTCTTCTATATCCTACTGCTAGTAGACCTGACATTTGTTATAATGTTGGACTTTGTGCTAGGTACCAGTCTGCTCCCAAAGAATCACACATGAAGGCAGTCAAGCATATTATCAAATATGTTGGAGGTACATCGGAGTATGACTTATTTTACTCTGCTGATACGAACCTACATCTTGTAGGTTATTGCGATGCTGGCTGGGCTGGAAATCTTGATGATAGGAAAAGTACTTATGGTGGTTGCTTCTATATAGGTTCAAATTTGGTGTTTTGGTTCTGTAAGAAGAAAAACTGCATCTCTCTCTCTACTTCTGAAGCTGAGTACATCGCGGCGGGGAGTTGTTGCTCTCAATTGGTCTGGATGAAACAAATCCTATCTGAGTATGGTATGAAGTTACATTCGACTCAACTTTTTTGTGACAACACTAGTGAAATAAATATTTCAAAAAATCATGTCCAACATTCTCGTACCAAACATATTGACATTCGCTATCATTTTATTCGAAATTTGGTGAAAGATAGAATAATTGTGTTGGACCATGTACCTACGGAAGATCAGTTTGCCGACATTTTTACGAAAGCACTTGATTCGAAATGCTTTTTGTCACGAAGGAAATCCTTAGGAATGTGTGTCATATAATATCTATGCATGAGCGTTAGTTGCATTGTATATATCTGTATTTATTAGTATTGCATAAAAGAAATTCTGCATTTTGGCATTGTAGTATGTAGGTTCATCCCTAGAAGCTTCCTTGAATAGTTTATTGTTGGACTTATTGATTGATGGTCTATGGACTCTAACTGGTCAGTTTGGTGGAGCTCGTCATAATGATCATTTAAAATTACTTGTAAGAGCTACTCTCGTGAAAGTAAGCATCAGACAATTATCACATGAGATGTTTCCATGATCACCTGTGAAACGAGTTACGTGCTTAGCAATAATAGAGGTGTGATAGCTACAGGCAGTCATTCTTGCGAATGAAAGTTCATTGGTGAAATAAGGTTGGTCATCTTACACAAAATCTCAGCATGTTCTAATAAAACTTTTTGCAGTATGATTCACACCTCGAGTAATGGGCTTGACATTGGCGTATTGTTGATGTCAGTAAGTGAATTGGTGTGGAAGTTCATAGAACGAAGTAAGTTCATCATGTGTATTGGCTGAATTGCGAATGAAAAATTCGTTCTTTGCTAAGAGAAAGTGGTGAATAAACTTATATTAATTTCATGTTATATAAAAGGTGGAGGAGTTGGTTTGATTTCTCTCTATTTTTTATAGTGTCGAGCTCTCTAAAAATTGATTAAGGGAGATTTTTAGATTATTCGGTTAGTGTATCTCTCAATATTGCATGATTGGAAGTATCTTGGGTATTGTATGATAAATATTTTATTTAGACATATGCATAAAATTTCCTTGTGATTGATTGAGTTTCAAAAATGGTGCTAAATTATTTTTAGTACTAAAATCTGATCATGATTCTCTCTGAAACTTCATCTTGCGTATATATGGTAGCTTGTGTCGAGATTTTTTGTAAGTGAATAATTTTTTTTAAAGGGAACGGTTTTATTTCATGCATTAAGTGTTGGGCAAGTTTTGAAATTCAAAAAGCTGAACCGTCTTGTAACTTGCCTCGATAACCAAAATTCCTTTTCCCTATATCTATCATATCTCCTCTCATCTCTCCCTCTCACTCATATCCATCAAATCTCTGATTTCTCTCATCTCACCAAAATTATCTAACATTCCTTACCTGTGTGAAGCTCGTCCTTTTGAAATCATGCCGAAATCCAAACAGGGAAATGTGAAGCCGAAGAAGGATGTTCCGAAACCTTCTCAGCGTTCAACTCGTCAAAGCCAAAGCACTGAAACTCCACCAGATCTCACTCCTTTCGATATGGCAACCGAAAAAGCACAACCTTCTCGACAGAACAAAACTAAGGTTTCTCTTAGCCCTAAAAAGTCTTCAACGACCAAAGTGGTTCAACCCGATGTTGCTGGGGTCAGTGAAAAGGTTGGAAAAGGGTCTCCCTCTATCACTAAGTCTCCGAAAAAGAGAAAGAAGGCCCTTGCGGTTACTGGCGGAAAATCAAAAAAAGCGAAAAAGACCATCATCTTGCATGAACCTCCTACTGCAGTGGATTCTGCTTCCAAGTCTGGTGGAGAGTCGTCTCCTGATGTTGCTAATAATGGTGACTTTATCAAAAAGGAAATCGATAAGTTCGCCGTTGAACCAGAGAAATCCGTTGACCCTATCATTGCTGAAAAGGATACTTCCTTTCTTGTGGATAAGGAAGATGTTGGTGATGCTGAAGATGTTGGTCCTGATAGTCCTCTTGCTATTGGTAATGC